TGTGAAATGGTTCTCTTGAAGACAGAAAATTTTTTAAATCCAGTTTGGCACTCTGTGCCTTTTTAATGCTTTAATGCTTAGATCATTTGCATTTAAGGCTAATATTGATATGTGAGGTTTTGATTCTATTGGGAAGTTGTTAGTATGTTGCTTTGTAGTTTCTATTGTGTGATTGCTTTATAGGTTATATACTGAAGTGTGTTTTTGTGGTAGCAGGAAATTGTTCTTTCATTTCCATGTTTAGAACTTGCCTTAATGATCTTGTGTAAGGCTGGTCTAGTGGTATCAATTTTTTTTAGCATTTGCTTATCTGAAAAAGCTTCTTTGTTTTGTTTTGTTTTCCCCACTTATGAGACTTAGTTTGGTGGGTTATGAAATTCTTGCTTGGAATTTCTTTTCTTGAATGCTGAAAATAGGCCGTCAGTCTGTCATGGTTTGCCAAGTTTCTGCTGAAATATCTGCAGTTAGCCTGATGGGATTACCCTTGTATGTTATCTGACCTTTTACTCTGGCTCCCTTTAAGATTTTTTCTTTAGTGTTGACCTTAGACAGTCTGGTAACGATATGCCTTGGTGATGTGCATTTTGTATAGTATCTCGCAGGTATTCTCTGGATTTTTTTTTTTGTATCTGGATGTCTAGCTCTCTAGCAAAGTTTAAGAAATTTTATGAATAAAATTTAAATATATTATTAAAATATATTTTCTAGATTATTAAATATATTTTAAAACATATATTTTAACGTTCATATGTTTCATCATGTGGCTAAATCCCAATTTAACATTCTTCTGTTAATGGATTATTATTTTTGATGCCATGAAGACTGCAATAAATATATTTGTGTATAAAACTTATGTTTGATATTACGGTTTTGTGTTAGGTACCATCCACATAGTAGAATTACTGAGTCAAAGGACAAATATTTTAAATTCTTTAATGTTGTTTCTCAAGAAATGGCAGAAATAGATCATAATATAGAGACATGGATCAAAAAATTACTACTTTTTTGAGGGGTTAATATATAACCTAAGTTTGTTTTTTTTTCTTTTTATATTTTATTTTTTATGAGAAGACCTAAGGTTAATGGAACAGTGTAAAATAACTACTTATGTTTAACGTACCTATTTTGAAGGAACTCAAATTATTTTATTGCATTAATTTACATAATTCTTTAAGGTAGTTGGTAAGTTTATTATATTATAGTTGAAAAAAAAATGGAGCTAATGCTTTTGTTTAAATTCATTTAACTAGGGTTTGACAGAGCCCTAAATGGAATTTTTACTTTTTTTTTTTCAAAAATCTTACTTGCTCTGTCTTTGTGATCTTAATATAACTTTTATCAGGAAACTATACAGCAAAGTGAAAAAATTATAGATGCCACAAATACATCTCCTCTTTAATAGATTTACAATAAAAAAGAGAAGGAATGAAAGGGCATAAAGCTGAAATTTCCTCTTTTTAAGGTGTTCTAAAGAATTCATGTAAATAACAGATTAGCATGTGCAGTTTTTCCTGCTTGGATACATTTATGCATATTTTAAATGGACTTCATTCTGGAGTGATGTAAAAATTGTTATTTAGAGGCAGGTCTTGCTCTTTTTCTGTATTATTTTCCTTGAACTCTAGATGGAAAAGTGTATATTTACATACATTTATAAGAATGTTTAGATTTTTCCAATACAGTCTTCAGTCAACAAATGTTTATTTTAAACAATTTTTTGTCTTTTTCCTTTACTTTCTTTTTAGAGACAGGGTCCTGGTTTGTTACCTGGTTGGAATGCAGTAGCATGATCATAGATCACTATAATCTCAAACTCCTGGGCTCAAGCTATCCTCCTGCCTCACTTCCTGAGTAGCTAGGACTACAAGGTGTGCACCACCATGCCTGGCTAGCTTAAAAATTTATTAATTTTTTTGGTAGAGATGGGGGTCTCTGTATGTTGCCCAGGCTGTTCTCAAATTCTTGGCCTCAAGTGATCCTCTCACCTTAGCCTACCAAAGCATTGGAATTACAAGCATGGGCCACTACACCCAGACTTATTTTTCTTATTATAGAAGAAAAGCACACATTGCATTGTAAAAAAGATCGCAGATATTTTAAACTTACTAATAGTATCAGCTTCATTGGTTTGTTGAAAGGATTAAATATGTAGAACTGAACACAATGCTGTGTATTTCATGAATGAGCAATAAGTATTAGCTATTGGTAATATTAGACTTGAAGATTGACATAGCAGAAAGCTGAAGAGGGAGGGAAGTCTAATTTCAGGGAAGGAGTAGTTGAAGTGAGTGGCTGTATGGTCCAGATTAAGAAGCTGGAGAAGTGGTTGAAATAGGTTAGCAGAAGAATATGGTTGGACACTTTTAATTAGGAGGAGAGAAGGATAAATAAAAAGAGGCTGTGAACAAAGAACCTGATAGCAGAAAACCTGCTTTTAAAATAGCTTTTCTTTTTCATTTTGACATATTTCATAAGTAACACTAGAGAAAAATTACAACTACAACAAATAAGGCAAAAAAAAAAAAGCTTAAGGATTAGAAAGGAAATAACACAATAGCAATTTTAACAGATGACTTAACTGTATATATAAAAATTCAAAACTACCTACGGATAAGCTATTAGAATTAATAAGTGAATTTAGCAAAGCCATCCAAATGAGACATGCATATAAATTGACAAGTTGATTATTAAATTTAAGGGGAAATATAAGACAATCTTGAAGGACAAAAAAGGTGGAAGGCTTATATTAATGGTTAACAAGATTGATTTTAATCCTGAATTAATTATTATGGTGTATTATTTATGTAAGCCTAGGCAAATCGATCAATGAACAAAAAACACAGATTCAACACACAGACCCACCTCTAATTCATGGCAAATGTGACATTGAAGAGCAGTGGGAATATGACAGTTTTAAAAATAAGTGGCTCCCCATATGGGAAAAAGTAAAATTTAAGACCTGCTTCACAGGCTACCTCAAAATCAGTTTGAGGTAGACTTTATTGCTAGGAGTGAATGGTAAAACACGAAAATTTCTAGGAGATAACATTGAAGAATATCTTCATGACCTTGAGGTAGGGAGTAATTTCTGGAAAAAGACACAAAAAGTGCTTACTATGAAGGCAAATACTAATAAATTGTCCAACATTAAAATGATGAGCTTCTGTTCATCAAAAGATATGATCTAATAACAGGCATGCCACAGCATGGGAAAAGATATCAGTGGTGCACACAACTGCCAAGGCATTCAGCTAGAACATTAAGAACTCCTACAGATCAACAAGATACAGACAGAAAATTGAATAAAAATGGACAATTGACTTGAACAAGCACTTCAAAATATAAGATGTCCAACCAGTTAATAAATAGAAAAACTGTTCCAATTCATTACTAACCAGGGAGATATAAGTTAAAATCACAATAATGTAGCATACAGCATCTACCAGAATACTTAAAAGGAAAAAGACTGATAATCCCAAGTGTTGAAGAGGATGTGGAAAAAATAGAACTCTTTTACACCGATGGTGAAAGTGTAAGTTTTGGTCCTTGTTTTGGAAAACTGACAGTATTTACTAAAGATGAATAGGAAGATACTCTATGACTTAGCAGCTTTACTCCTAGGTACATATGTTTATGGAAAGACATATAAAAGAATGTTTATAGCAGCAGCTTTATTTATAAAAGCCAACATAAATATGTATGTATATTTTCACCTAAAGACATATATATATATAACACAACAATGTTCATTGCGGTTTCATTTATAATAACCAAAAACTGAAAATGATTTAAATATCCCCTATCAGGAAATGAATAAATCAATTATGTTGTATTCACACGATCATACAAAGCAATACTGTAAGAAATGAAAATGAATGAACTATAGCTACATGCAGTAACATGGATGAATCTCATAAACATGATTGAGAGAAAGTAGATACATAAAATAATATAGAATATATAATTCTACTTATATAACCTTGAGAACCCAGCAAAAATAATAGCTACAAAAATTAGTGATAGAAAGTGGTTATCTTTGGAAAGGAAGTGGATAGTGGTTTTGACATTGGGGGTTTCTTGGGTACTATTATCATCCTGTTTTGATGGGAGTGGTGGTCACCTGGACAAATTTACTTTGTGATAATTTATGGTGCCATACAGTTATGATTTGTGTATTTTTCTGTGTGTATATTATATACTTCAGTGGAAATGTCATTTTAAAAAGCCAATTGTATTTTATTATACTTTAAGTTCTGGGGTACATGTGCAGAATATGCAGGTTTGTTACATAAGTATACACATGCCATGGTGGTTTGTTGCATCCATCACCCCGTCATCTACATTAGGTATTTCTCTTAATGCTATCCCTCCCCTAGCCTCCCACTCCTTGATGTCCCCACCCTCTGACAGGCCCCAGTGTGTGATGTTCCCCTCCATGTGCCCATGTGTTCTCATTGTTCAACATCCACTTATGAGTGAGAACATGCGGTGTTTGGTTTTCTGTTCTTGTGTCAGTTTGCTGAGAATGATGGTTTCCAGCTTCATCCATGTCCCTGCAAAGGACATGAACTCATCTTTTTTTTATGGCTGCATAGTATTCCATGGTATATATGTACCACATTTTCTTTATCTGGTCTATCATTGATGGGCATTTGGGTTGCTTTCAAGTCTTCACTATTGTGAACAGTGCCACAATAAACATACATGTGCATGTGTCGTTATAATAGAATGATTTATAATCCTTTGGATACCTAGTAATGGGATTGCTGGGTCAAATGGTATTTCTATTTCTAGATCCTTGAGGAATTGCCACATTGTCTTCCACAATGGTTGAATTAATTTACACTCCCACCAACAGTGTAAAAGCATTTCTGTTTCTCCACATCCTTTTCACATCTGTTGTTTTCTGATTTTTTAAGGATCGCCATTCTAACTGATGTGAAATGGTATCTCATTGTGGTTTTGATTTGCATTTCTCTAATGAGTAGTGATGAGTTTTTTTCTTATGTTTGTTGGCTACATACATGTCTTCTTTTGAAAAGTGTCTCTTCATATCCTTTGCCCACTTTTTGATGATGGGTTTTTTTTTTTTCCTTATAAATTTAAGCTCCCTGTAGATTCTGGATATTAGCCCTTTGTCAGATGGATAGATTGCAAGCATTTTTTTACCATACTGTTGGTTGCCTGTTCACACTAATGATAGTTTCTTTTGCTGTGCAGAAGCTCTTAAGTTTAATTAGATCCCATTTGTCAATTTTGGCTTTTGCTGCCATTGCTTTTGGTGTTTTAGTCATTAAGTTCTTGCCCATGCCTATGTCCTGAATGGTTTTGCCTAGATTTTCTTCTAGGATTTTTATGGTGTTAAGTCTTAAGGTTAAATCTTTAATCCTTCTGGAGTTAATTTTTGTCTAAGGTGTAAGGAAGGGATCCAGTTTCAGCTTTCTGCATATGGCTAGCCAGTTTTCCCACCACCATTTATTAAATAGGGAATCCTTTCCTCCATTGCTTGTTTTCATCAGGTTTGTAAAAGATCAGATGGTTGTAGATGTGTGGTGTTATTTCTGAGGCCTCTGTTCTGTTCCATTGGTCTATATCTCTGTTTTGGTACGAGTACTGTGCTGTTTTGATTACTGTAGCCTTGTAGTATAGTTTGAAGTCAGGTAGCATGATGCCTCACACTTTGTTTTTTTTTGCTTAGGATTGTCTTGGCTATGCGGGCTCTTTTTTCTTTCCATACGAAGTTTAAGGTGGCTTTTTTCAGTTTGTGAAGAAAGTCAGTGGTAGCTTGATGGGGATAGCATTGAATCTATAAATTACTTTGGTTAATCTGGCCATTTTCATGGTATTAATTCTTCCTAACCATGAGCATGGAATGTTTTTCCATCTATTTTTGTCCTCTTTTATTTCCTTGAACAGTGGTTTGTAGTTCTCCTTGAAGAGGTCCTTCACATCCCTTGTTAGTTGTATTCCTAGGTATTTTATTCTCTTTGTAGCAATTGTGAATAGGAGTTCACTCATGATTTGTCTGTTTGTCTGTTATTGGTGTATAGGAATGCTTGTGATTTTTGCACATTGATTTTGTATCCTGAGACTTTGCTGAAGTTGCTTATCCACTTAAGGGGATTTTGGGCTGAGATGGTGGGGTCTTCTAAATATACAATCATATCGTCTGCAAATAGAGACAAATTGAATTCCTCTTTTCCAAATTGAATACCCTTTATTTCTTTTTCTAAGCCAATTGTATTTCTAAATGACAACAGTTTTATATTTTTGCCATTAATAATAGCAAAAGATAAGTTCCTAGGAATAAGTCTAGCAAAAAATGTTCAAGCTTCGTATGAAAGAAAATTATTAACTTTCTTTAAAGATATTAAAACTACTCAAACACATGAAGAGAAAAATCATGTACAAAGAGCACAATTCAATACTGTAATGATGTCAAGCTCATATACCCTTACCTATAAATGTAATGCAAGTTCAATAAATGTCTCAAAACATTTTTTGAAATGCTTCTAAAACTCATTTATAAGAACAAAGGACCAATCATAGATCACTAATGAAGAAAATTAGTAAGATATGAATTTGTCTTACCAGGTTTCAAGACATTATTAATGTGGAGCAGTTAAAATTCTCATACTTATGAAGTTATAGGAATTATAACAGCATGGTGTTGATGCAATATGCTATTCGCATGGGAACAGAACAGAGAAGTTAGAAATGGAGAGGGACCAGTGCTTATATGTACCCTCAATATATGATGTGGTGCCATTGCAGATCAATGGGAAAGGATGAACTTTTCTATAAATTGTGGGGGGCTAAATGTTTAATAATATAAAAAATAATTAGATCCCTACATCATGTCAGACACAAATAATACCTAGTAGATTAAAGACTTAAGTGTGAAAGGCAAAACTATAAAAATTTTAGGAGCTCTAGTGTAGGAGAATATCATTATGATCCCAAGGTATGGGAGGTTTCTTCAGCAAGACACTAAATGTATAAACCATTAAAAAAGATTTACAAATCCAATCACACTAAAGTTAAGAATTGTTATCCATTGAAAGGAAGCAAAAAATGAATTAATATAACAATAGATAATAGTAGATATAGGAAGTAATCAATAAAAAGATGAGAAAGATTTTAAAAAAAGAAAGCCTGGCAAACAAATTACTAGGAATTTTGTAGAAGAGGAAATGCTAATGGATCATAAGCATCTGAAAAGATGTTGAAACTCATTTATAATTGGGAAATGCTAACTCTTGTGGAATTGGCAGGTCTGAAAAACTTGAACAAATTGCAGTCTATGCATACGTTGGAATATCATACAGCAGTACAAATTAATGAACTTGGCTAGATATATGAATGTGCTTGAGTCTCAAAACATTTGCAGTAAAACAAATTGCAGAAGAATGGTTATAGTATGATACCCCTTATAGGAAGTTCTAAAGACTCAAAACTCATTTTGTGCATTTATATGTATGTGGAAAACCTACAAAGAAAGCAAGGGAATAATTGACATTCAATTCACAATAGCAGTTGGGAAGCAGTGACTAGGGGAGGAGGCAGGGATAGAGCTGCAACCAGGAGGGGCCCTCAGGGAACCTATAATTACCAGGAAGGCTCTATTTTTTAAGGTGGGGGGGGCAAGTACGAGGGCAATCATTTTATTATTTCTCCCTGAAATGTATATTCCACCTTTTACATAGGTGGTATATTTTCATAGGAACAGTGTAAAAGCAAAAATTAAATAAAAGTACATTCTATTAAAAATAGAAAGTATATTGGGTATATGGGTATATAATATTGTTTAACCTCACTAATAAAGAGAAGAAATTTAAACTTGGAAATTGGTATCTTGACAAATCTTTGAAGTTTGCATTTTCATCTTTGTAATATGATTTACCAATATCCATTCAAAAGGAAAGATGCCGTTGCACAATGGAAAAAGAAGCCGAAAAATGTCAGAAGAAAATTCTAAAGAAAGGAGAACACTGGTTGATATTTGTAGTTGAGTGTGTCTTACCAAAATACGTTGAGAAAACTTTTCAGAGTCATGGGCCAAAGATCACACAAAGGGCCAATTCGTTTTTATATCTGGAGTTGATAAAAACTATGTGTCATATAGATCATTGGTTAGTCCATCCATGCAGGAAAGGAATGTGTGTTGTCATTTTAAACAGAGGCAGTAAAGTTCATTATATGAAAACTCCTGAATGAGTTATTACTATCAAGATTCATTTATGGAAGGAAATACAGGAAAAAGACATGATGATTTCAGGAGAGGGGTCTTAGTGTGCAAAGGAAGCTGCCAACTCTGAGTAATTTAAGAGAAGATAGTCTTATATAAAGGTCAACACAGGTGACATTATAGAAAAAGAGCATTTTGGAAATAGAATTGTTGATTTCTGTATATACATACCACACCATTTGCTGAGATTCTAGACTTAAAAATGAGCCTAGTTTTTTTAAAAAAAACCTCACTTTTACAAAGTTAAAATTAAAAAAAATTCAAATACTGTTAATAACCCGTGGGGGGGGGGGGGGGGGGGAAATGTTTAAATTTTTTTTTTTTTTTTTCCTAGAGCTCTCTGAAAATTTTAGCCTAACAAATGTTTATTCTTACAACTAATCTTTCTTATTTTTTATGTTATATAGTTTTCACATTCTCTTCCCAGCATGGTTACTTTTTACCAGTTTGTAGGTGAATTGCATTTGGCATATTAATAGTTAGCAACTAGCGAGAGATAAAGTCAGGCAGGTATGGTTGGTTCTTGAGAAATAAACTTGAAAAAAATTCCGAGAATGCAAAGGAGGATCTTATCTTTGAAAGTGAATACGGCCCTGGAAATGAGCAGAAATGGCCTGATGTAGGTGTGATGGCAGATTATTCTCTTACTTTTGGATGAGATCAGTTTGGAGAGTTTGGCTTTAATCTTATAGTCAGAAAAATTACAGGAAACATTCTGATAAGGAAAAAATGTACATTAATGTTATTTTTAAAATATTGAAGCCAGATGGTCTTTTGTTTATCCTCAAAATTCTCTCAGTTTGTATCTGTTTTAGTTCATTTTGTGTTGCTATGAAGTAATAACTGACACTGGTGAAATTTATAAAGAAAACAGGTTTATTTGGTTCATGGTTCTGCATGCTATACAAGAAGCATGGCTCTAGCATTGCTTCTGGTAAGGACCTCAGGAAGCTTCCACTCACAGCAGAAGGTGAAATGGGGCCAATGCATTACCTGGTGAGGGAGGAGGCAAGAGAGAGAGGGGAGAGAGGTTCCAAACTTGTATTAACAACCAAATCTGATGGGAACTAACAGAGAAGTCACTCAGTCTCCTAAGAACAGCACCAAGCCATTCATGAGGGATCCACCCCCATGACTCAGACACCTCCCACTATGCCCCTCCTCCAACACTGGGGATCAAATTTCAGTATGAGATTTGGAGGGGACAAATATCTTAATTATATCAGTGTACATCTAGGAAACACTAATCAATGTACTCTACCATGGATTGTATGGCCAACTGCTAAACACTTTAGTTCATTCACTCGTGCAGCAGATGTTTAGCAAATGCTGTGTCTGGGTGTGCACGTGCACGTGTGTGTGTGTGTGTGTGTGTGTGTGTGAGAAAACTTCTGGAAAAGCCTGGGAATAGAAAAGGCAGTAAGAAAAATGTAGTTACTATGCTTATTTAGACTACCTTGTGATATCATGAAGCAGAAAGACATCAAACAGCCACAAAAGAAAAGGACAGGATGCAATAAAATGATAAAGCAGAGTACCTAGTCTCCTGTGAAGGTAACATTTGGCTGAGTCAGACAATATAGTTACATAATAAATAACTTTTGATTGATTGGATGCCAATAGCATTATTACAGATCTAAGTGTTTTGAGAATTCTTTAACTCATGAAGTTTTCACTTGTCAAATTCCCATCATTTCTTGGCTTTCAAAATAGCCTAGAAAGAATAGGCATCTACCTTTTACAAACCTAAGAAATGATCCACA